CAGTGTGTTTTAGCGTGTTTTTGAGTGCTTCAGCGTGTTTCAGCATGCCTTAGCATGTATCACAGTTTCTTAAGTGTGGTTCAGCATGTTTCAACGTGTTTCAGTGTGCTTCAGCATGTATCAGCGTGTATTAGCGTTTTCAGTGTGTTTTAGCGTGCTTTAGCTTTTTCAGTGTGTTTCAGCGTGTATCACTGTTTTTCAGCGTGTTTCGGTGTATTTCAGCATGTTTTAGCGTGCTTCAACGTGTTTCAGCATGTTTTAGTGTGCTTCAGCGTGTTTCAGCGTCTTTTAGTGTGCTTCAACGTGTTTCAGCGTGTTTTAGTGTGTTTCAGTGTGCTTCAGAGTGTTTCAGCATGTTTTTAGTGTGTTTCAGCATTTTTCATCGTGTATCAGCGTTTTTCAGCATGTATCAGTGTTTTGAGTGTGTTTCAGCATGTTCCAGCGTTTTTCAGCGTGTTTAGCTTGCCTCAGTGTGTATCAGCGTTTTTTAAGCATGTTTCAGCATGTTTCAAGCATGCCTCAGCGTGTATCAGCGTTTTTCAACGTTTATCAGCGTTTTCAGTGTGTTTCAGCGTGTTTTAGCATGCTTCAGCATGTTTAAGCGTGCTTCAGCATATTTCAGCATGTTTTAGTGTGCTTCAGCGTGCCTCAGTGTGTATCAGCGTTTTTTAAGCGTTTCAGCATGTTTCAACGTGTATCAGCGTTTTCAGTGTGTTTCAGCCGTGTTTTAGTGTGCTTCAGCATGTTTTAGTGTGTTTAGGCGTGTATCAGCGTGTTTCAACGTGTATCAGCGTTTTCAGTGTGTTTCAGTGTGCTTCAGCATGTTTTAGTGTGTTTCAGCGTGCTTCAACATGTTTTAGTGTGTTCCAGTCTGCTTCAGCATGTTTCAGCATGTTTCAGCGTGTTACAGCATGTTTTAGTGTTTCAGTGTGCTTCAGCGTGTTTCAGAATGATTCAGCCCGTTTCAGCATGTTTCAGTGTGCTTCAGCGTGTATCAGCCTTTTTCAGCGTGTTTAAGAATGATTCAGCCCGTTTCAGTGTGTTTCAGCGTGTTTCAGCCTTTTCTCAGCGTGTTTATAACAAACGTACCCAACGTATGCCAGTGTTTTTGCCAGATTTTTGGTTCGTCAGGCATACACTGGTCTAATTCATCAAGGTGTGACGGGGCTTTAGTGGCAAACAACTCAGCATAACTACTGAGCTGATGACATGCTGCTCATTGATAACAGCTAGCAGCTATCCTCTTTGCAACAAGGCTACTGCCAGAAACTACCAGGAACGGGTAGAACAATGAGCTGTAGGGAATAACATGTTGCAACATCTAAAGCAGTGGATTAACTGGACTGTGCAAAACTGTGAACTCACCCTTTTGATGTCCTTGCCGAAGGTTTCGCTGAAGCTGGAGCCGAGGATCTCAAACTGGACGTGGGAGTTTGAGCCGCTATCCTTAAAGTCCATTGTTCCTGTCAGACCTGTGATGTTTCCCTGTAAAGAGGTGGTTAAGGGGGGAAAGAGGAGAGGACAGTGATTTTAACGGCTCTGCTATATGGCAGCTTTATGTGTCTCAGCACAGGCTTTGTCGTATGTGTCAGCCAATGACTAGTTATGCAGATAGGCTGCTCCATGGCATCATTGCCTGACTGACCAGTCCACATGTAATCTGTAGACCTGGAGATTGCATTCGACCATGTCCCTCATTTGGGGGGGGGAACTTTCAGGGGAACAGAGTCGGGGGCCCTATCCTAGAGGCCATCCAGCAGTCTGGACCACATTGCAGGCATGAAGCCGAACCTGTTCTCAGTGAATGTTGGACTCTATCAGGGCTGTCCTCTGGTACCTGTTCTGTTCAGAACCTTTATGGACAGGGTTAGGGTTGGGGGGACAGGATTTCTAGGTGCAGCCAAAGACTGCAGGGGGCCCAGTTTGGGAGTCAGTAGATCTCATTCCTGCTTTGTTGGGATGACATGGTTCTGCTGGCTGGGGTGGTCTGCAGCCGAGTGTGAGGCCATGGTTCAGGTTCTGGACCAGATAAAGGAGGCCTGTTCCATTCAGATTGGAGGAGAGTTCCTGCCTCCAGTGGAGGAGTTCTGTTATATTTGGGTCCTGCAGAATGATATGTATGAGTAAACCAACCAAACAGATGTTAGTTGTTAGTATTAATGTTGGTATAGATGTTAGTCAGTATTTTAAAGAAAAGATTCAGATGAAGTTTAGGGTTAGGGTGTGAGTATTGACTATTTCCTTCTATAAGTCCCACTTTGCTGTTTCTGCTCCCTGTGTTCTTTGCCTGTTTGCTGCTGGAGCTAAAAGCTTCCTCCATCTCCTCCTCCATCTCCTCCTCCACATCCTCCACAAACTTCCACGGATCCTGACAGTCATAAAGTGGATAGAAAATCCCTTTATTGTCCCACAGTGAGGGAATTCTGCTGTTTACAGCAGCAAAAGGATTTTAGAAAAAATGGTCACACAAATGTGGACCTTAGAAAAAAGAATAGCATAATAGTGAAGAGTTAAAAGATAAACAATAAAATACTATGAAGTGTTTTAACAATATAAAAACTACATCTGGACAAGTGATTTGCTTTTGTGTGATTTTTCTTCAGAAGTAAATGTTAGATCCATCGATGTCCTCCCTTTGCTGATGTGTTATGCAGCTGAAATGCCAACAACACATTTAAGATTGAAATCTTCCTGCAGATTTTATCCAAGATCAGTTTCAGTCCTTAATGTTTTTCATTGATCCTGAGAATCAGATTGATCATATTAATGAAGTAACTGATATTTTTATGAGTATTTTTCACACATGAAGAATGAGACAGGAGTGATTTTAATGAATTCTTTGTTTTTTATCTGTGATACACGTCAAAGAACTGATGTTTTTTTTTACTAACGGGCAGCAAATGCAGCTCAGAGGGACCCATAAGCCTGGCTGAAAAGCTTCTTCACCAATTAGAGCATCAACAGCAGAGTCTAGGCTGGAGCCATGAGACGCATTAGAATCAGGTTTTTACATCCATGTTACGCCAAAACTTCATGTTTTATTAACCCTCTGCTAACTGGAGGTTATTTGTTCATGTCTCATTATCTTTGCCACATGCTTCTTTTAACTGAAACTGGAAGAAAAGCAAAAACTCTCACATCAGAGGAGAAATGTCTAAAACTATGGTGCAGTGGCTTTAGGCTTCAACGTCAAAGGTTTGAGTACCGGCCTGCAGATCTCTGCGGTGCGTCTTCCCTTTCCTGGTTTCCTGGGGTTTTTGTTCAGCTGCAGACGTTTTCTAAAACCTCTGCATGATCCAAAAAGGTTCCAGGGTGGAGGGGTTCAAGAGAACATCGCGGAGTCCTCTGTTGTTTATTTAACAGAATAAAAAGACCATCCTTGGCACATGCAGATTATATCTGCAATCACTGCGCAGCATAGAGGATGCAGGCTGGTTCAGAGGCTCAGTGAGTTTTTTTAATGGCACTAGTCGACTGACAGGAAACAGACATGCAGCAAAAGAGCACAGGTCTGACTCCAACCCAGGTCGGAAACATTGAGGACTAAGGACTCCGTACATGGTTCGGTCACGCTAACCACTGTTCCACCGAAGCATGCCCGGCTCATGGGTGAGATTGAGGAAAATTATCGAAGGCCAAATTGAAAACGTCCGAATGCATCCTTATAAACACACTAAAAGATTATCTATCGGAGGTTTTTAGAGCTCAGCGTGTTTTTATGCTTTAAAGTTTTTAAGAACATCCCACGGGTGATGTTGCAGGTTAATTTGAGGGGAGTGGCGGCCTAGTGGTTAGGGCATAGGGCTTTGAATCCTGAGGTTGTGAGTTTGATCCCCCACTCCCACAGACTTTCACTCTGGCTCACTGAGAAAGACCCTTAACCCCACACTGCTCCCCGGGTGCCGCAGAGAAGGAATTTCCCTCTGGGATTATTAAAGTGTAAAAAAATAATAATATTAAAGCTGTTTCTAGGTTTTAGGAAGATCACACCTGAAACGTCATGTAGAAGTAAGAAAACAATCCGGTCTTAAATGGATAATTTTCGTGAGTCATTAAAGTTTCTCCTGTCTGTACAGATTAGCATATCTGAGACTTAATGATATATTTTATTCTCAGGCTAATTAAGATGGTATCATTTAAATGTACCTAAATTAGATTTATAGAATTAAGATGAATTTTATTTCCTCCAAAGGCGTTTATGATGATATATAATGTCGAAGCACGTTTTATCTGTCCTGAAGTTGTAGGAATTTAACCACGATGGGCTTCAGAACAGATCCTCCCGCTCATCTCTGCGTGTTGGAAACGTTTTCAATCAACGGAGCCGTTCCGAAGTTTTGCGGTCGGAACAGATGGATGAGCGTTTTTTTGGACAAAACCATTGGGGTCTTGCTGCTCCGCTGTCTCTGGGACCCTGAGAATGTGGGCTGTGTTTCTCCAAAGCTTCAGGTCAGGTAGCTCCTCTCCTTGGTTCTTGCATTTCCTCCATATGATCTTCATTACGAACATTCGATGCACTTCCCTGACATGGTCGCTCAGCAACTCAAGTTTATTGTTCATTTCTGTCAGCGTTGCGTTAATAGATTTCGAAGGCATTCAGCTGGTTGGTGTAGTTGAGGGCAGCCGCTGGAGTTGAGGTGTAATGCCCTGTCTCAGCTCGTTGAGGGCGTTTAGCAGCATCTGCGTTTTTGGTTCTTCCTCCAGGTGCGTAATAATTTTCTCAAATCTGCTTTGCAATACAAGACACTTGCTAGCTTAGCTGATGTTTTGAGGAGAGACAATGCTTCTGTTGATTGTTTTAAACAAGATGTTAACAAACTGAGTATCCCATTATGCACTTCCCGCCATCTTGAAACATACCTCTACCAAAAGCTTAAATTCTGATGGAAACTCATTTAAAACGGGTTTCCATTTGGCGAAACTAAAGATTCTAATTTCACAAAGATTCAGGTGTTTGCCTTGGTTTTAGCTTCCTGTCACTGAACAACAGCTGTTGTGCTGCATTGGAAGTCCTTCTTTAAACAGAAGTAGAAGTAGAAGAACTAGATCAGACGTTCTGGTTTTACCTTCTGGATGGTCTCCAGCATCGACCAGCCTCCGTTCCATGGCTTGGTGGACTTTCTGATGCAGTTCAGGCTTGCCATGCTGTGCCACTTCCTGTCCTCCAGCTTCCTGTAGAAAGCGTTGGCCAGCATCAACACGCTGTCATACAGGTAGAGGTTGGACACCTGGTTGAAGAGAGTTCAGAGGAAATGTCAAGAGACCACAGGCGACCTAAAGGACAGTTCCTGTACCAAACCGTCCAGAATCCCTCCTCAGGTCCATATTAGCCTAGCGACAATCTAAGGACACTGAGCTGGTCAACAAGCTCCATTCTAGATGTCACATTTCTTCTTCTTTTTACGATGTTAACTGAATCTGTTTAAATAAACAAAGTGTGACGTGGAGAAGGTAGACACTGAATCCACTGATATATAATGTTTTACTGGTTTTTCATATAAGGAAGTTTACTTCTTAGAGACCAAAGCCTTCCCAGCAGACAAATCTGTTTCTATCATTTATCTGATATTTCCTACATTTGGACCTTTTCAGAAAATAACAAAGTAAAACAAACAATAATGAATTTTTTCTGAGATTTGTTGGAACTTTTGTACATTTTGTAAAATGTGTGTCTTTGGTTCTTGTTCAGGTCACAGATAGGTTCAAACAATAAGGTGAAATCTGAAGGGTGTGAATAAAAGCAGCATTTTAGGAAAATTGTTTTCCCTGTTAATCAGTGACAACAAGGCTAAAAGGTGGAAAACCTGAAAAACAAAAAGAAAATGAATCTGTAAAATGCTGACAATTGATTCGGTCTGAAGGAAAAACCAGTGATGAAATGACACTGAATCAAACATAATCAATAAGATAGTGACTGCTTAGAGCTTAGATCACTGCACAGCTTAACTACTTAGTCAGGCTTAGCAGAGCAAACACACACACTGCTTTGTTTTCATGACATATGGGGACATTTCATTGACTTTCATTCATTTTATATGGCCTAACCCTAACAACTACCAACATATACCTAAACCAGGCCATAACTACTAACTACTACCAACATATA